GGGACCCTGGCCAACAGAACAAAAGGACTGATGAATCATTTTCTTTAAATTTCTCCAAATTTCCTGACCTCAATCCTGAATAAAATGCAAAATGCATAGGCTCTGGGATTTATGGCACATTACAATTATTGCAATTTATTATGCACTCTGCTTGAAATGAAACATTTTTAAATATTTCTGCTCCACTGGTTTAAGATGGATTAAGATTTAAAAAAGCAAAAACTGCTTAAGCACCAGTAATATGATTCTCTTGCACAAATGCCTAAAATGATACTGTTTATCTTCAGAAGAAAGAGTAGATTAGAAGAACACAGCCTCTGACAACCAATTGATTAAATTTAGGGCATTGAGATACATGTTACAAAAGAAGATGAAAGTACTCCTTATTTAAGATTTATTGTTAAAACAAGAAATTGTATAAAATTTGGATTAAAAAAAATTCAATTGCGATGTAAAACCCGTAATTGTAGTTTTGCTTTTTAAAGAGAGATAAAACTGGTAAATAAACATTCGAAGGTCAAAACAACAACTTTCACTTAATTGTAGGTAGGATAGTATATGTGTATGTGAAAGGCAAAGAAATCAAGACGCATTTAGGCTTACACTGGGGAAAAAAAAACCCTCTCTTAAATCATTAGGGAAACATTTATTCAACAAAGCAAAAATGCATTAAAATATTTTATGGTCAGGATTATAATATTTACAGAGATGTGATCAAATAAAGGCCAAAATGTAGTTCGTTAACATAGCCTCCTATGTACCAGTGACTAGCCATGACAGTGTTTTGAATTGCCCATCCATTCCTTCCCTTTTCTTAACTTACGTTCTCCAAGCCCCGCTACCAAAGGCTGAAGAGTCTGTATTTTGTACACTAAAATACATGACGTTAAATTTTTTGCATAGCAGAAAAGAGGCATGTTCAGTGTCACATCTCTCTGCTTTAGAAAAATCTCCAAGAACAGAATCTCAAATGCCCAGTGAAGCCCTTCTTACATGTAATATTTTGAATACGCAGAATCTTATTTCCTGTGACACGCAGAAAAGGTGAGAAAAAATATGGAAAGATGAAAGAAATAACATCAATCAGCTGCGTGGGAAAGGAAGATACCTTCTCTTTATATGAACTCTCATTGTTTCCCAGGAACACAGCATAAAAAGATAACACACTTCCTTGCATTTTGTAAAAGGCTCTTGACATAATTTGTGACTTATTAACTAGTGATGCTAAACTCACATTGCACATAAAGCACTAGACGCTCTTTTCTGTTTCTTAAAATTTAACGCTGAGGAAAATAAAAACATTTTTCATGCGACGTTTATCTAATATTAAACTTTACATTTGCTTAACAGAGCACAATCTTCACAATAACAGGGTATATTGCCAAAGGCAGCATGCAGACTTTTTGGAATTGCTCCCATCTCTTTCGGTTCACCTGTAAAAACATCTACGTGCTCCCTAGGACTGCATCTGTGGCTAGTTTTAAAGAATGACTATCCATGCAAATAGGCATAATTTCAGCATGAAATAATCTGCAAAATCAAGACAGTAGTCAATGCTTAGTTTGCAACCAGGATGGAAAAAAAAAAAAAAAGCTTTAACACTTAGAAACATGTTTATTCTGCAGTCTTTGCCCATGTATTCTGGATGTACTAAAAGAATTTTCAGAGATTTAGTGTCAGAGACAGTTACGCAAGGGACATGATGTTTGTTTACATTACTGGCTCCTTGCATACAGGAAAGCAAAGTATGATAAAAATAAAAAAAAAAAAGTAATTAATTCAGATGGGAAATCCAGAGCCTTACACTGTTATCAGGACACTGCCTTCAGAGATCATTCCTTATCAAGAAGCACATTAAGCAAGTGAAGTTTGGAGACCTCACGATAATAATAAAATTACAAAGCGTTCTGTGGCAGGGGCCCAGTTCTACCACCTGCACACCAGGTAGCATCGCACCCTGCAAGCAACGCCCCTGGAGTCCAGGGATACCAAAATCCTGTTACGTGCCAGTGGTAGGATCAGGCCCTGCTTGGCAGTATGTGTTGTAAAAGACCATCTCCTGCTTTCTCTCAATTAATGCAAATGGAGTTTTTCAGGGGGCAAAATCAGACTCTTACAATTAGGTCTTCATCTAAAAAAAATCTGAGCTCAGAGTTGGGATTTCAGAAGGGTTGCTTCTGTAAATAAACAGCCAAGTCCTCAGGGGGTGGAAAGGGGCGACGACCACTGGAGTTTTTAAGCAGGCGATACTGGCATAGAATAAACCAGGGTCAAGGTTGACCTTTCAGTCTAGTGGCGTTCGTCTGAAAGCGATATAAACTAATTGCAAGATAACCAAAGAGCTCTTGATTACTGCACGTAAGATATTCTAAAGGCATTCTCCGTAAAGATACTACTTGCCAATAGGAAAAAAAAAACAACCCGCCAACACTGAAAACCTTCACGCTTTTCCTTCCTTTTCGGTAGTCAAGCTATGCTTGATTGAGATCCAGCAATAAGTTCCCAAACTCACACCAAAAACCTCACGTCAGATTTCAAGTTTTGCACATTTCCCAGCAAATTCGAGGTGCCTGACCACTGTTTCCCTCTCTCTTGCCCAATCCCAACCAAGGACACGCATGGGGAGGGCTTGCTGTACCCTTGAGTCAGCAGCTCAGGAAATAGGCCGTCCTGTGCCAGGTTGGAAGGTCATTGCCACGCATCCTTCCTCCCCAGTGTCCATTTTCCTCTCCCCAAGCCCCCGTACCAGCAGCTGCTCGCCTCTCCATTCCTGCCACTGCAAACAGGCAGCAGGAGGTGCTCCGGAGCGATGCCCCCTCCTTCCCTCGCTGGAAGCTGAAAGCATCGGAGTTACCATACGCTTTGCTGGGTATTAGGCAACGTCTCCCATTTGCCCTGGTGTTTTCCTGAGCCTACAGACTGCCAGCTTTAAGGCTTACATGCCTTTCAGCTTAAATATGAGAAATAGTTCTACTTTAGCCTGACAAAACAGGATGAATACTGAACAGCCAGTTAATATTTTGGTCTCGGAGGACCGAAACCAATTCACACCTCAAGGGAAGTGGAATGGCACGTACAGCGGGATGCAAAATCCCGGCCACGAAGGCAGACTTTGATACTGATCGGAACTGGATAAATAGGGAACTCTTGGAGGGAAAAAAATAATTAGGAAGTTTGTGTCCTTCACGTAGTACCAGTACTTTGGCTGCACACTGTCTCAAAACTGTATTTCATACATCTAATGTCTCTGTACAGCTATCCAGAAATACATAGTTAGAAAGAAGCTTAGGTTGTCAAGATCTATGTAGAGATCTTCAGAAGCATCATTTCTTTCCGAGTTACAGAGTTTTCAATTTGTGAAGGTTAAATTTGCTTCACACGTCACTTTTGATACTCCTTGCACGCCAAGTGTAGTTTATGCTAAATTTACCCTCCACATCTCAAGCCTCAACTCGCGCGATGCGGCTTTCTCAGAAACCGAACATTTTCCATGCCCGTGTAATTAAAAATCACACCAAGGGCCTCAGCACTTTCTAAGTCCATCCATAAACATAGCCTGCAGTATTTTATTTACAAATTTACTTTCAAAACTTTTGTTTAAGGAGATGTGATTAAAATGTAGCTACAAATAACCTCTTAACAGCACAGCAGCTACAGACATGGGTTTATTTTATATACATGTGATATGCATTGACATTTTAACTGGAAACAGATTAATTTCTAAGTATCTAAGACTTACTGTTACTATACTTTGGCTAGAACGGTCTTTAGAAAGGAATACTATGTCAGGTATTTAACTGCACTCACTACAAATAAATCAATTTCTGTAATCAATTTCGTTAACTCATCCTGATCTACAAAGATGCTGATCGTTTTTTCCTGGATTAATTCACAGACCTATGAGATGCAAAGGAGATGTAAATTCAGACCCACCCTCCTTAGCCACTCTGAAGGACCCTAGCCTAACCTAAACACCCATTAAATATACAGCAGTACAGTGCTAAACTTGACGAATGTTCATGGATGAGTTCAAGGAGGTATCAGTTCACGGAGCTGAAACTGTTCCTATCTTTTCACAAGCCAACTACTTTCTTTGGTCCAGCGTCTGCCTGCTTCATGTCAGCCTGTTACGCCAACACCACACAAGAAATTTAACACGCTTCTGCTAATAGAAATATTTAGATCTTTCACTCTAAAGCGCTACACGGGGTATGGCTTTGCCAGAATCGGCCAGGAAGCGCAGGATGAGAATTATTCCAGTCAACAGCATTTCACGCACAAAACCACAGTTAAAATCCGAAGAACAGATGACTTCTATTCACCATAGATCTGTTCAGTGCTAAAATCACGTTAGCCACTAATGAGAAAGTACTACCTTTCTGTACGGCTCTGACACAAGTTTTCTTGGGAGAAGGGGTTATCTAACTCTCTTAGCCGAGACGTCTAATCAAAGAATTTGAAACAAGGCAGAAATGATGAGCAACTGTTTGTGCAGTAACAACTACTTCATTAGGATTTCTCCGTAAGAAGTAAAAATTAGAGCCTGATTTACTTCAAAATTATGCTACCGGCTCTTTAGCCTTAAAGAAAAAAACCACCCTCGTTTTAGGAACCCAGTGATACCCAGGGCCCAATCCAGCAAGGTATTCAGCAATTCCTGCGAATGCCAAGCATCCTCAATGCCCATCGACTACAGGGAGAACTGACAGAGCTCACTAACAGGACGGAATCGGCATCTCATTAGGTCAGGCCTTTATTTTGGGGAGATGCACGGCCCTCCATCACGTACCCGTGCTCAGCACTGCTTGAGGAAACAGATTCTTTGAATGAGAAAAAGAAATGGAGCTGCTCAAGGTAGAAAACTGGAAACACTTTCCTCCTCTCAAGCCAGTTTGGTCCTTGTTATTTCATTGATCATGAAGAAAATAACTCACATGGTCTCTGTGCAGAGACAATACTGAAACGTTCGCAAGATTCCTACTACGAACTCAGCCCAAGTT